TAAACTGATAAAATGGAGAAACATGATAATTAAATTAATCAAATTAACAATAAAAGGTATAAAAATCTAAAGTTTAAAATAAAATAAAATACTAAAGGACACCATCACACACACACACACAGTCACAGTCACGGTTTGATAAGCCTCAGAGGGTTTTGTTATTGTCAGCCGATGCTCTGATGGTGTGTTGTATAATTGTTGTGGCCTCTGGAGCTGCGGGCTTGTTGTAATGTTTCTGAGCGTAGCAGTGGATTTATGGCAACACTGTTGACTGAGTGACCTGCTTCTGTCAGCAAGTGTAAAAGTAGACAGGCTCTATGACTAGAACATTGGATTGAAGGAGCAGTGGAGGAGATATTTATCACCCTCGCACCCTCCGAGGCTCAGTTTAAGTCCCAATAAGTGGCTGAAAAAAGGAGGGGGGCCTGCGTTCTGAGCCATGAAATGAACATTACAGTGGCTTGTTCCTGGGACATCAGTAAAGCAATAAAATCAAAGCAGTTTTTTTATTTTCGGACATTGCCGAGTTTGCTTACAGAGGATTTGACTTTGCACATCCAGCTCGGTGTTTTCATGGGTTGTGTTAATGTGATTGATTATTGAGTTGGAGCCGCTGACAGAGTACGAGTCTTGTGATGTGTGAGGGGTTAAATGCTAATGTGCATGTATCTCACAGTTCAATTCTCTCCCTCCCTCTCTTATCCATTTATACATGAGTCTGTTTATTGAACTACCCAGCTCAGCCTGTTCTCTACTCAAAATGTCCTTGACATGCTGCTGTTTGAGTCCATTCAGCTTGTTGTCCCCTTCTGTATGTATATATTTTCTTCTCACCCCCTGTTTCTCCCTGCTGGCTGTCATATTACTATTTGAATACCATCCATTGGAGAGAGGAGTGTATTTATGGGAGTGCGCTTCCAGACAGCGGCTGACACACTTGCGGCCCGCAGAGGAATCGTCTAGAAGCGGTTCAGTCGCTCGGCTCAGAGGCCACGCGCAGCCAAATCAGAGATGGATGTCCTGTCTGGGCGCACGACCATGTCTGACTGCCCATGCAAACATGCATAGACTTACTCATTTTAACAAGCTATTCTCAGTCAGATAGAATGTAGAAACCCCCTCATCCGCCTCAGAGGGGACTAGGGCAGTGACAGAGAGGCCTGACGGGCCTCCAGAGCGAGGTCACAGCCCGACTCTGCCCCTGACCCTGACCCTTACTCTCACCACAGTTCTCAGTTCTGCATAGAGGCATTTGAATAGAGGCATTGCCTTTGAGGGACGCTGTACAAAGTAAAGCAAATGCATCCACAATAAGCAGTGATTATTTAATTTGTTAATGTCATACCTGGTGTTCTATTAGTTGGGGGCTTTTCACAGGGTTTTTTAACAAAAATCCAAATGTGAGAGCAGAAATCTGAGGCCAGAAGTATCGTGAGTACACATGAGCAGCTTTAACACGACTAGAAGGACTCAAACTGAAGGACATTTGTGCAGCAACATTTGGTCATCTGAGTGCAGTTTTAATCAGGAGCGGAGCAAATGTGCATGGGTGCTGCAGCTATTTCAGAGAGTATGCAGGGGAATCATTACAAAATCTTGTTTGTCACATATTTTTTTAAACCAAAAAAATATGTGAATGTGTAGTGAAGTTCCCCATTGGACTAGAAATGTTTGTGTATATGGAAAAAAGGTTCATGCACACAGATTTAATTTGCACATGTGTACACCTAGAAATTACAGTTAATTAGAAAAATGGAAAACTGTAACACACTGGTCTCGTCGCAGTGAGCCGTCTTTCCGTGCCAGCTAGCCTGAGACTTGAGCACACGGCTAAAAGAAAAAAGAAACTTGCAGAGCAATCTCACCAAATATTTAATTATTATGCATCTTTAACTGTAACCTCCTTTATATGTGGCACTGCTGCTGCAGCCCAGTTCTGAGCCAGTTTAGAGACTGAACTGTGAACATGGACAGCATCGTGATCACAAGTCCTGTGTTGGCAACATTTCTGGACACGTCACACATATGTGAGTTGTGCATCAAGTCACCTTCTAATAATCTCCATAAACATCACGTGTTCTATAAATATCTATATCATTTATTCAGTCAGTCATGGAACACTGATTCGCTTTGCCAGGAAAAAAACTGATAGAATGTTAAAAACTGCGAGAAAGAGAAATATGGTTTGTGTGTGAATCTCAAGAGGGCTGTTATTCATACCCCTGCTGTGTGTGTGTGTGTGTGTGTGTGTGTGTGTGTGTGTGTGTGTGTGTGTGTTTGTGTTTGTGTTTGTGTTTGTGTTTGTGTGTGTGTGTGTGTGTGTGTGTGTGTGTGTGTGTGTTTGTGTTTGTGTGTGTGTGTGTGTGTGTGTGTGTGACTGTTTCAAGTGTCTCCCTTCTCAGTCATGTAAATGGATAAGCTGAAACCTTATCTCCACTAATGGCATGCTAACCATCTTCACCACAGAATCAAAACAAAACTGATTCCTACAGTTATTTAAGATAAGATGAACTTCACTAATGCCACTGGGGGGGAATTAGCATCGTAGCTGCAGCAGCAGGATATAGATGAGAGTAGGTAGTGTATCTACACAATGTGCGATATCGCACATTGTTTACATGAATAATATTGCACACAGTCTCCGAGCAACGGGGTGAAAAAAGACTTGTTACAAAGAGATGTTGCACATATATATCCGTATATGCCTGGGTGAATGGTGGGGGAGCATTGCTGGTTGTACAGTTTGACAGCAGTAGAAAGGAAAGAGTAATATGTGAGTTAATACTCTGCAACCTCTACAGTCAGGCTTTCACATATTTTCTGTAGCTGTTGAATTATTTTTTTTCACTGAGGAAATTCTGAGACATCACAGTTGAAAGCACAGGTCTCACTCATAGAACAAGTGTTGAATTCATTCCACTAACAGAACCCACTGTTACCACCAGGCCACAAACATCTTCATCGTACCCAGGTCACCATCTCATCACACTGCTGCCCTCTGGAAGCAGTACAGGTCCTTTCATCGTGTGCAGTGTTACTACCGAGCACATATACTCATCTGTTTTAATTCCCTATGTTTTATTTAGATCCATTTACAGATTTGTCTACACATACACAGATCTCATTAATTTTTTTTTTTACATGTTTACAAAACATTTGCATCTGCCTTTACTCATTTGTAAATCTCAGCACATTCTTTACACACTTACAAATCTAGTTATGCACACACGGATTGATAAACAGTTAGAAAACTATATAAATAGCCCTACAATACAGGACATGCTGTTAGTGCTTTTCAGTCATTTCATTGAAATAATTGTTTTTGAACT